GAGGCAATGCTTTCGACGGTTTCTGTCCGATGTTGCTTGAGCTAAAAGGATACTCGGTAGTTGTGCTCACTTTCTATGGTCACTCGTCTGTCGGCATGCGTGATCAGAATGTTCCCAGGTTTAGGAAGCTCGCTTCCCTTCTCTCCTCGCTCCAACTCCCATGGATCGTTGCTGCCGATTGGAATTTCACCCCAGCCTCGTTAGCTCGGACAGGGTTCCTAGACAGGGTAGGAGGCCAGGTCCTTTGTTGCGAGGCCGATTTCACTTGTACCCCTGGGGGGGATAGCAAACCTTCGCACCTTGATTATTTAGTTGTCAGCGCTGCCGCGCGACCCTATGTCCGCGCCGTGCGTGCTGTGTGTGATGTGCCGTGGCGTCCCCACATAGGCCTCCATGTAGACCTCATAGGAGAAGCCAGTCAGCTCTTCACCAGAATTTTGGAACTCGCCCCCAGGTTTCCCAAAGTGGCTAGGCCGGGGCAGCAAGCGATTGAAGGCTCGAAGTCAAGCATCAGCAAAGCCAAGCGTGACAGCTCTAAGAAGTTGGCGCTCGAGAAGCGCAATGCTCGCATTCAGGAGTGGTTTGGCGAGGCTCTTGCAATAGAAAAGGTCGAGAGCCAGAGCGAGGGGGAGGGAGATTCCGAAGGCGAGGTCGCGCCCCACAGATCGCTCGACGAGGGCGACCCTCTGGGCGAGGACTTCGACTACGACCCTTGGGCCAACGAGCCCAACTTCGGCACTCCCGAGCCCGCCGCCCCGCCTCTCTTTGTGGGTCAGCAGCAGCACGAGCGTAGTCAGCCTCAGTCATCCGAGCCAGCTCGTGTTAATTCAACCCCTAGTGAGCCTTCTGAGAGCCCGGCCCAGCCTGGGGGTCGCCAACAGAATCAGGTCCAAGTTGAATCGGTGAGCTCAGAGCCCCCTGACACCCTAGGCTCCGCCAGTTTCGCTATCAGTCACGACGAATGGATCCAGGCCAGGAAGAAAATCGGGTTCTCTCCGAGCTCGTCTAATCTCCCTGCACCTGCTGTTGCGTCCTCCGTAGCATTTCGGCTCGGATCCCTTTCGGCCGCTTCTCCACACATCAGTTCCTTATATTGCAGTTGGATAAGATCGGTCGAGAGTGCCATTCACACGCGCCACGGCCAGGTTGAGCCTCTCGTCAGCAGAGGGCAGGCGGTGCAATTTCGAGTGTGCGAGGTCCACCAGTCCAAGCCGCAGAGAGTCACTCCACTTCGTGACCGAGTTGCAGGCTGGTGGACCCGAGTGTCTAACATTTTACTTTCACTCCAGAGTCACCGTCGGCGGCAAAACGGTGACAAGCAGGTTCAGATATTGGTGGCAGCGCTCAAGAGTTTAGGTCTGCAGTGTCCTGACGAGGCGCACCGAGTCTTGCGGCGAGGTGATCCTTACAAGTGGGCACAGTGGCGACGGCAACTCGACAGCATCACCACGGTCGACGACGATAGTTTCACGAAGCTGGTTGAGTTTGCTGTGCGCTTGGCTAGGCGGGCCCAGCAGAGAGCGATCCAGAGATCGCTCAACGAATTTCGTGAATGGTCAGAATCTGCACCGGCTGTTGGCGCGTTACATCGAGCAATCAAGGAGACACCTATTCCCTCTGACACGCTCGAGGTGGGGCCGACGACGCTGGTGCACCCTCGCGATATCCTCGACAGCAAGAGCCAGCACTGGCAGCAGTTATGGGGTCCCGAGTCAGACGACTTCGATCTGCTCGTTGAGGTTTTCGACGAGATTCGTGAGCGAGTAAGAGGGGAGGCGTTGGCACCGCTGGAGGTAGCAGATATCCGAGCGGCCCTGCGACGGATGAAACCGTCATCTGCCATGGGGGTCGATAGGACATGCTGCTTGGACTACGACAGGTTGCCCGACGCGGCCATCAGCGAGCTGGCGGGCATCCTCACCCTCTGTGAGTGGCACCAGGTGTGGCCTCACCAAGTGCTCCTCACGTTGGGCACCCTGCTGCCCAAGAAGGTGGCAGGGGACCGTGTGATAGGCCTTCTGTCGCATTTGGCCCGCACGTGGTCCCAGGCCCGCGAGGAGCACGTGCGCGCGTGGACGGACCAGTGCGAGGCGCACTGGGATGCCGCGGTGCGCGGCAACGCTGCGCTGCGTGAAGTTTTTCTTCGGTCAGTTGACGAAGAGCTTGCAGTTCGACTCGGGGCCTCCATCGGCAACGGGATGATTGATATTGCAAGTTTTTACGATTCAGTGGGATGGTATCGCATGGCCAAGGCTGCGCTTCGACTGGAGTTTCCACCTGAGGTATTAGGGCTCGAACTTCAGCAATGTATGGCAGCTAGATGTGTCAGGCAAGGAGGGGCTTACGGGTCCCCGTTCAGCCCCACGCGCTCCATCGTGCAGGGGCTGAGGTCGGGCACGCGGTTCGGGAAATGCACCACCTTCCACATTCTTCAGCGCATCACGACATGCCATGTCAATATGTCTCATCGTTTATGGGTGGACGATTTCAGTCAGACGGCAAAAGGATCTCGATGTTCTGTCAGGAAGCAGCTAGTGGCTTGCATTGTGGACACATGTCGGGAGCTCACGGCCAACGGGTTGAAAGTTTCACCCAAGTCTGTAATTGTGTGCACGCATCTGGCAGATGCGAGGTCGGTGGTGCGGCGAGTCGCTGCCCGTGGCTTCCAGGTGAAGGCGGCCAGCCAGGCTGCCTACCTGGGCGCCGACCTCGCTGGGGGCAGGCGTCACGGGCGGGCCACGCGACGAGCGAGAGCCCAGAAGCACGCGGCCATGTCCAAGAAGATCGTGGGCTTCGCTCGTGCGCTGCGCCGCTACCGTGTGCCAGCGCGCCTGGAGCTTCAAGGAGCTCAACCAGCGGGGCTGCACGGGCATCAGTTGCACGGCGTCTGGGGAGGTCAGATGCAGCAGGTCAGGAGGAAGCTCGCCAACGCGGTCGGGCCACGCCTCACAGGTCGCTGCGTGACCACTGTACTGGACTTGAAGGCTGCCGACCGCGACCCTCAGTACAAGTTGCCATGTGATACGTTGAGAATGTGGCTTGCCATGTGGAGCTCACAACCGGCGTTGAGAGCAGGTATTTCACGAACATGGGCGGATCTGGTTGCTGATTTCTCGGCGCTATCCCCTGCTGTTCGCTGTCGTCACATACGTGGGCCTCAAGGCGCGACGATTGCTTACCTTCTCGACGCGGGTTGGAAGCCAGAGTCGCCGAGCGCTTGGACCACACCAGACGGCAACTCTGAGTGGCAGTTCAACGCATCTAGCATGACTGGTCACCCTGTGCTGGACGTGCCCGAGAGTTTCTTCGCCGAGTTTCGCTCGACCATCGAGGCACGCTCGTGGGAGGCAGCGGCGCGGCACTTCGGCGGCGCGGGCATGGAGCAAGGGGTGTGCAACCACTCCTACCGCCGTCTGCTGCAGCAGCTGGAGCTGGCGCCAGGCGGCAGGCGGCTTGCGGGGCTGCTTCTCGCCGCGGCTGCGGGAGCGGCGTGGCCGCGCACGAGGAGGCAGACAAGGTGTCGGCAGACGCTCGATGTGAACTGCCCTCGTTGCCGCCTCGTTCCAGAGACTAGCTTCCATCGAGTGTGGGGGTGCAGCAGCAAATCTGAGCACCCTGTGCACAAGCTTAGCGAAGATTTAGTGGCCAAAGCGTATGTGCAAGCTGAATCTGAGGAATGCTATTGGACTCGAGGTCTGATTCCTAGGTCTTGGCTGCAGGTTGAAGCCCCTCCAGAGGTTGAGCAGTGGGTTTTGTCCAACAACCTCGACTTCGGGGTAGCGGCTCAGAGCTCTAGAGGTAGGCCAGTCTTTATTTTCGGGGATGCTAGCGGGGGTCCCGACACCCATTCCCCATTGCTGCGCAGAGTAGGCCTTGGATTAGCTGTATTCCAGGACGTCAGTAGCATGAGTCTGACCCTAGGTCTTTGGAGCCCCCTCCCAGGCACCAGGCAGACCGTAGCCAGGGGTGAGCTCTATTGTCTAGTGTTCTCGCTCCGTCATGCGTCAGGTCAGATTGTATATGTTACGGACAACGATACCACGGCATCAGGTTGGCATCAGAGGCGCTGGCTGCACCCGTCAGGGCCAGACGCCGACTTGTGGTGGACGGTAGGTCAGATTTTGCAGCAGCGGGGGGACGAAGTGTCTTGCTCAGTCCTTTTTGTTCACTCCCACCTCGAGGGTGAGCACATTGTAAAAGGAATCGCCCCCCGCAATTTAGTGATTGGAAATACATTTGCCGACTGCTTCGCAGCCGCAGGGCCCATATGGGCCGCTTGCCTGAGTCGACTCGTGCACGCATCCATTTAGTAGAGCAACAGGCTTTCGCAGTTCGTATGCGTATCCTTCAAAGCACCCTTGAGGCCCTCCATGCCGAGGAAAGACTCGAGGCCGCCGAGGGGGGTAAGCGCAGGCGTAGGCGTCAGCAGAATGCTTCTTCTGTGGTTCGGCCTCCAGCGGCCAGCGTGTGTGCCATGTTTTCGACCCAGCATTGTCTCAAGGAAAACTCCAGGAGCTGTTCCAGGTGTCAGGGTTTTGCTTCCCATGCTCGTAAAACCGAGTGGCTGAGCTCACCTTGTTTTTCCTTAATTAACGTGGACGGTATTATAAGGCGACCCCCCCCAGGCATGCGGGTGCACATCTCGGGGGGATATGCTCACTCGTCACACGTTATCAGATTTCATTCGGGGTTGGGCATCTGGTTTTGTACTGCTTGTGGTTGTTTTGCGTCAGAGCAATTGAGACAGCTAGGTGCAGTATGTCACGATGCCGTCAACGGTAACCGTCGTGATTACTTTGATCGAATCACCCGTGGGCTCTGGCCGAAAGTTCGCAGCAAAGCCGAACTGGCCAGAAAGAAGCAGCAGGGTATATAGCTGCTTCCATCGTAACCGACACTGTCGCCATACCCAGAACTCCAGAACTCCTCCTAATGTTATCCTCGTCCTGGCTTCGTCTTAATGGTCACTCTTGCTTGTGTGTTCGACGTTCTCGGCCGAGGAGCAGCCGAAGAGGGCCCCCGCGCGCGCGGAGTCCACGCCCGCGCTGCCCGCCGGCACGGCGGGCACGCCCGCGGGGCGCGCGCGGGGGCAGTGCCGCCTGGTAGAGCTGAGGCCGGCGCCGTGCCCTCCAGGATCCGGGGCAGCATTCCCAGAGATCCAGCGTACTGAAAGAATCAAGGCGGAGGTTTTGGACCATTTTCGGCCTCTAGAGGCCCTCGCCGGGCCTCGGGACCGTCAAAAAACAACTGATGAAAAACCCGCCCTGGGGAAAGGGTCGGGACTTCCCTGGACCCCGTATTGAAAAAAACACGACGTCGGATCTCTGGGTTCCTAGACACGATCGCGCCTGCTTCAAGCTGGTGGGGTCTCTCCCCCATAGGACGCACTGCTGCAAACAGTCGCACTAAGCAGAGGTCCAGAGCCAGACCCCCACCCCCTCCCCTCGGCGTCCCCCCAACATACTTATACTATGTGTTCGTCGCCCCCCCAGAGGCGACGCGCGAACCGAGAAATCTTATAGTATATGCGTCGTGGCGGGCGCTTTCTGGCCACACCGCTCGAGAAACGATATACTACAAGATGGGTATACTATATGTTCGGGTCGGACGCGCGCCTCCAAGGCGGACACGTAGTATTAGTATGTCTCTGTGCATCCCATCCCCCCTCCCTTCCGCCCAGTGTCGAAACGCCGAATAAGAAAACGGCTCACGTGCTGGGCCCGGGGACCGACAAGAAACGGCTCAGGATGACACGCTGACCCCAGGGAAGGGGTGCAGACCGCGGGGGTGCCGGGGGTCGTTTTCCCCTCGGTCTGGGTCAGGGGCTGCGGCTCGCAGGCCAGAGGGAGTTTCATCCGCGCATGTCGCTGACCTTCGCCTTGGGTGTTTCCAGCGCCGCAGTCCGAGACTTGTCTGGTCCCCCCCGCGCTCTCCCAAGACTCCCGCAGTTCCCGGGGGGGGCCGCGCTGCGGACAGGAAGCCGGGACAGAGGATGTCCTCCCAGCCGCTGCAGTCTCCCCGGCGGGGGGGCGCGAGGAGTGGAGGCCTATATATCTATCTATATCTCTATATCTATATATATACACACGATATGTATGTGTATATATATATACACATACAT